TACCCAAAGCAGCTACTCAGCTGCTTACGGTAGATCCCATCATGGATCGACTGCCAGTCTCATCATGATGAATAACTACCACCATCTGCCCAGCCACTCAACCAGGCCCAGCCAAATTGACACACAAACATAATCACCACAATACCTAATAATGGAATTGCTGGATCACTTGGTATTTCTATTTTCAACATTTTAATGAAGTGCCATACCATTTTCCATAGTGGCTATACCATTTACAGTCCCACTAACAGTGTATGAGGTTTCTAGTCTTTCTACACCCTCATTAGCATATCGTTTTCTGTTTTTCTGAACTGTGCTAATAATGCTGGGGTGACATGATATCTCATTATTGTTTTGATTTGGATCTCTCTAGTGGATAATGGGGAGCTCTGGTAGCATAGTGCCTAAGGCACCTGACTGCTAACCAGAAGGCTGGCAGTTCAAACCCACCAGCCACTCCTCAGAAGGAAGGTTGGGCAATCTACTTCCGTAGTGATACTGCCTCGGCAACCCAAGGAGGGGTCACTATGAGTCGGGTCCAACTCAACGGCACGTAATAACAACAGTGGGTAATGATCACAAGCATTCCTCCATGTGTTTGTTAGGTGCTTGAATGTTTTCTTTGGTGAAGTGTCTGTTGGTGTCCTCTGTCCATTTTTTAATCAGATTATCTGTCTTTTTGTTTTTAAGGTGGTAATGTCTTGTATAAATTTCAGAGATTACCCCTTGCCTGATATGTCAGTGCCAATTTTTTTTTTTCCTGGTCTGTGGGTTCTCTTTTTACTCTTTTGGTGAAATCTTCTGATGCATGTAAGTGTTAATTTTTAGGAGATTCCACTCGTTTATTTTGTCTTCTGGTGTTTGTGCATTTTTTGTTATATTCAATAGTGCATTCATATGTCCTGAATTAGGGCCCTGAAGTTTATCCTTATTTTTGTTTTAATGGTTTTCATTTTTATAGTCAGGTCCTTGATCCAACTTGAGCTCGTTTTGTATATGGTATGAAGTAGGCGCTCCTGTCACATTTTTTGGCAAACGGATATCCAGTTTGGTCAGCACTATTTATTAAACAGACTCTTCCCTACTTACTGTGTTTTGGCTCTCTATCAAAGATCAGCTGTCTATAGGTATATGGATTTACTCCCAAGTTCTCAATTCTGTTCCAATGTCTATGTGTCTGTCACTGAATCAGTACTAGGCTGTTTTTTAACTACTGTGGCTATGTAGTAAGTTCTGAGATTGGGGAATGTGAGGCCTCCTACTTTCTTCTTCTTTAGTAATGCTTTTCTTATCAGGGTCTCTTTCCTCTCCATATAAAGTTGGTGATTAGATTTTCCATCTCTTTAAAGATGACAGAATCTTGATCAAGATTGCATTATACCTATAGATCACTTTGGGTAGGTAGTATTGACATTTTCATGATGTTAAGTCCTCCTATCCATGAACATGGTATATTCTCTTTTGGTTTCTTATAATCATGTTTTGTAGTTTTCTTTGGATATGTCTTTTGTGTCTCTGGTTAGATTTATTCCTAAGTATTTCATCTTTTGCGTGGTTATATTGTAAATGGTATTGCTTTCCTGATTTCCTTTTCAGAGTTCTCTTCATTAGTGTAAAGGAATCCAACCAATTTTTGTTATGTTGCTCTTGTACCCTGCCACTCTGCTGAAATTTTCAATTAGTTTCAGTAACTTTCTTACTGAGTCTTTGAGATTTTCTATGTGTTAAGATCATATAATCTGCAAATAAAGATAGTTTTACTACTTCTTTGCTGGTGTAGATACCTTTTATTTCCCTTTTTTACCTTACTGCTCTGGCTAGGACTTCCAATACAATATTAAATAGGAGTGGTGATAAAGGGCATCCTTGCCTGGTACCCATGCATAAGGTGAATGCAATTCTGTTCTTTTTCTGGTCACCATGCCCCAAAGCCACCACTTCATTCTTACTCTTTGTTCTCATCTCTCATATCCAGTTGTGTTCATTGTGCTTACAGAGCACCCACCTCTCAAACTGTCCATCCTTTCTGGCTGCTCACTTTTGAAGATGTTAGAATTGCCACTCTCTGCTGCCTGGCCCACCACAGTCCTTTCTAATATAGTCTCCCTCTTACCAGTTTCCAACCTATTTCCCTGACACAAGAGTGGCCCAAAACAGCATGCCTCTGTCACCCTATTCATAAAAGACCATTGGGAGGCTGGTATTCAAGGCCCATCAGACTCGACTCCAGTCTGTATGTGGTCCTGTAGTCCCACTTCAATTGGACCACACCCTATGCCCCCCAATCACAAACTGTGTACCTTTCTACCTATGCCCATGCCATTCCATCCTCTGTTCCCCACAGGACAAATTATTCATGCTTTATGACTCCAAGTACCAATACAGCTTTCTCTAACACTCCAAGGCAGATCCAAGTACTTTCTCTATTGTGACATCTGCATCTGGCACAACCTTTTCAAGAAGAATTCTATATATCATAATTGCTCTTCTGTAATTTCCCAGGAATTATTTTACTAATCTCTTAACTCTCCCAACCACATTACCAGTGCTTAGCTGGAAGGTACCTGGCCCAAACTGGGTACTCAGTAAATGTTGTGGAATGCATATAAACAGTTTCTAAGGAAACCAAGGCCAGGAAAGACTCAAACAGCAATAAAACACGAGAACTGCCCAACTTCTCTAAGCAAAGCTACTGTTTTCAGGCTGGCACTCCACTGCCTTGCCATGCCTGCCCTTCAGTGGACAAACAATAAGATCATAAGAGGAAAAAAGGAAAATACCAAGCCTTTAGGAACTGATAAGGCATCTGGCTGCTAACCAGAAGGTCAGTGATTCAAACCCACCAGCTGCTCTGTGGGAGAAAGATGAGGCAATCTACTTCTGTAAAGACTATAGCCTTGGAAACCCAAAGGGCTCTCACTATGAGTTGGAAACTACTCAATGGAAGGTTTGGTTTGGGTTTTGGGTTAGTAATTGATAAGCAACTTAAGGAACCACTGAAAAAAGAACAAATAATTCTTCAAGTATGGCCAAGTAAGGTTCTAGCAGACTCACCCTCCTGTAGATAATCATGCTGCCACAAGCCAGAGAATACCAAGAACTGCCAAAAGCCATCAGAATCTATGAGAGGCATGGAATGGATTCTCCTCAGAGCTTCCAGAAGGAACCAACTCTGCTGACACACCTCAGTTTCAGACTGCTAACCTCCAGTACAAAGAGAATAAATACCTGCTATGTTAAACCACCAAGTTTGTGGTAATTTGTTATGGCAGGCTTTGGAAATGTATACAGCACAATTTAGTGAAAAACCATTTGCCTCCCAACAACACAGTTCAAATTCAATTACCACAGCACATCACTGTAAAAGTGCAAGCTCTTCAGTCCAGAAATCACTGTATAAGTAACAGACGGGCACCATGATCATGATCAATCACATCACTTCTGTCAAAGTCTGCCAGAAAATGGTCATTGCACATCTGTTACTCAGTCACAGACAGCAAAGTTTGTAGTTGTGTTGTCTCCCAGTGACAGATTCACTAGACATTTTACAAAAATGGATCATCAAGAGTGGCAGTTGAAGAGTGAAGATAAAAGTTTCACAAAAAAAAGAAAAGTGATAATGCTGGAAGTAAAATGTGACTCTTCAAACACCTCTTCTCTCTTATACCCACATCATTCCACACCAACCCTTCTTCCTTGTCAAACTCACACCATAATCGATGCATCAGCCAATCCTTAGACAATACCTTCAGAACACCCCAAAATCTAACCACTTCTCACCACCTCCACTCCTATTAACCCTATCCAAGCCACTGTCATATATTGCCTGGATGGGCTGCAACAGCCTAACTCTCTCCATTGTAAAGTTACCTTTGCCTCCTCTTTCCATATAAGTAGATCAGCTAGAGAGATCTGTTTAGAATACAAATCAGATCATGTACCTCTTCTGCTCAAAACCCTAAGATGGTTCCTCATCTCATTCAGAATGAAACACCTAGCCCTTAAATTGAGTACCAACCCATTGTCATTGAGCTGATTTATAGTGCCCTTATAGGATACAGTATGAACTGCCCCATCAGGTTTCTAAGGCTGTAATCTTTATGGAAGCACACTGCCACAACTTTCTCCTGTGGAGCAGGTGGTAGGTTCAAACCACCGACTTTCAGTTAGGAGCCAAGTGCTTTAACCACTGCACAACCAGGGATCCTACAATGACTAGAAAGCCCCACAAATTTGCCTCTTGGCACCACCCCATTACCACTCTGACCTTATCTCTAATATCCTCTCCCCACAGTCTTTCCTTGCTGGTCTTTAAACAAGCCAAGTGAGCTCCTTCCCCAGTCTCTGCATTAACTATTCCTTCATCTGGAATACCCTTTCCCCAACAGGGCCTTACCTTCTCTAGATCACTGCTCAAATGTCACACCACTGAGGCATCCCCTGGTCTCACACACTCAGACTGCAAGCCCGCTCACCTTATATCCCCTATACTTTGGCTTTGTCTCCCTCCTTAGCAATGATCACCATCAAATATTACATGCTTTTATTTATCTTGTTTCTTATTATTCTTGTTTGTTATGTGGCCTGTGTGAGGGCTGGAATTTCTGTCTGATTTATTCAATGCTGAATTCTCAGCAACTAGAAAAGGTCTATCATACAGCAGATCCTCAGCAGGTATTTGTCAAAAGATCACAGATAACAATATCAACAGAAACCAGGATTTCTAGGAGACAGTGTTCAGCTTAGAAACTAAGTCCATGTCAAGAAAAAATAACTTACAAGCAGTTGTGGAAATCAATACAGCATTCAACACCCCCAGATGGGAGCTCCTGCAGGCAGGGCCACCATGACCCTGCTCAGTTCTGCATCCACAGAGTGCAGAACAGTGATGATAGGAGGGAGAGACTCTGAGAGTCTGTCAGGACCCCTACAGGTGATGACAAGGACTAAAACTCCAGCCCAGCAGGTACTAGGATCATGTCTGAACTCAAAGCACTTACCCCATTCCCTGTTTGAAAGCTTCAATCAACTCATTCTTTTTATTTTGATCTTCTACCCAGTACACACTTGGAATGACAAACTCTGATATCACACGGCATTCCGGACAAGCCCTGAAATAAGAATCAGGTGAGTGAGAGACTAAGTTACAAATCCTGTGCATACTATACCACTAAACCCCTTGTTCAAATGGATGACCATTTTCTTAACCAAAAATCCCAAATGGTGCAATCGCAATTGTGGGAAGAACTGAGAACCTTACTTACTGTTAAAAAATAGGTTCTTCTAAACAATAAGACAGCCCAATTTAAAAATGGGCAAAAGATCTGAATAAGCATTACTCCTAAATGGTGGGGGGGAAAAAATCCATAAAAAGATCTCCACATCATTAGTCATTTGTAGTTGTTGTTATGTGCCGTCAAGTCAGACCCAACTCATTGCAACCCGTCCTTGGGTTTCTGTGGTGGTATCACTATGGAAGTAGATTGCCCAACCTTCCTTCCAAGAGTGGCTGGTGGGTTTGAACTGCCAGCCTTCTGGTTAGCAGTCAAGTGTGTTAGGCACAATGTTAGAAATCCAAATAAGAAACACAATGATATCACTTTCATATCCACTAAAACCCAACCCAAACCCATGGTTGTCAAGTCCATTCCAACTCACGGTGACCCTACAGGACAGAGCAGAACTGCCCCCATAGTTTCCAAGGCTACAAATCTTTATGGAAGTAGACTGCCACATCTTTCTCCCGCAGAGCACCTGGTCAGTTTGAACTTCAACCTTTCAGTTAACAGCTGAGCACTTAACCCCTGTGCCACCAGGGCTCCTTCTATATTCTCTAGGATAGCTAAAATCATATAGACAATAACAAGTGTTAGGGAGGATGCAGAAAAATTGGAAATCTCACACAATGCTGGTGGGGATGCAAAATCGTACAACCACTATGGGAAAGAGTTTGGCAGTTCCTCAAAATGTTAAACATAGTTACTGTATGACCCAGCAATTCCACTCCCAGGTATATACCCAAGATATGAAAACATATATGCACATAAAAACTTGTATACTAGTGTCCACAGCAGTATTATTCATAATCGCCCCAAAGTATAGAAAGTCCCAATGTTCATCAGCTAAGGAATAGCTAAACAAAATGTGGTATATCCATGCCATGGACTATGATTCAGCAATGAAGTAATGATGTATCTACAAAATGGATGATCTCTCAAAACCCTATGCTGAGTGAGGGAAGCCAGTCACAAGGGACCATAGAGTGTAAAATTCCTTTAATATGAAATGTGCAGATCAAGTAAATCTGCAGAGAAACAAAGATCAGTGGTTGCTAGGGGCTGGAAAGAAAGGGCGATGGGCAGCGATTACAACAGAAGTTTCTTTTTGGGTGATTAAAATAATCTAAAATTAGATTGCAGTAATAGTTGCTCAATTCTGTGAATACACTAAAAACCACTAAACTGCATACTTTTATCTCAGTAAAGCTGTTCTTTTACCACATAAATGTATGACTTTTGTTAAGTTTATTGGACCTCATAATGCCTTGTTTTATCTGTAAAATGAGAATGATGGTCACAAGGTCCCTGCAAATTACAGGAGCCGTGTATGTAAAGAGCATGTACACAGGAGTTCCAGCAAGATGGCGGACTAGGCA